ATAGACCTGGGTTCTGTAGAGGAAGAGTCTTGCCCTGAGGCTACTCTAGAACAGGTTCGTTCACATTTTCTAAGCTTGTCAATTAATAATTTGGTCTCCAGAGGTATGATAGCCTTTTAGTGGCCCTGTGAGGCCTTTACCCAAAGTTTAATATAGCTCCAATGAAAAGAAGGTTTGGAGTCCCCCTGGTTTTTGAGTCTTTCCACGACTCCTTGTGTGAAGAAGATTGGTTAGATTCGCGGTGGCATAGTAATAGCGGTCATCGCGCTCCGTATACAAAAATATAAGCGTTTCCCCAAAGGCTGCAAGTTATTCCATAAGGTCCCTTTCTAAGGTAATCTGAAAAGTTTTGTATTTTGGATAATAACGTACGTTGTTATCTCCTGATTGAGAACGTTTTTGGATGTCGAACCTTGAGACTTGCATCTTGCAATGTTGTTACGATTTCGTATATTCTACATTAGCAGCAGAAAAGTGTGAAATAAGTGGTTGTGGACTTGGCTAGAACAACAGTGACTTATCATGCAGTACTCATCGTCGTTCAAGTTGGTAGGCCAGTAGTTTTTTCTAACACCCTTTCTCAAAAGTTGTAAAGATTAGAGAAGACCAAAGTTTTAAGAGCATATTGCGCTATCTATCGTGGCTTTTTCTAGATTCGTCGGGATTTCGATCCCCTATACCGTCCTCCAGAGAAGCATAGGCAGACCTCACCCAATTTGAAAGTAACTGGTAGCAGTGTAGAAGAAGGTAAATTAAACGAGAATTTTTTACTAACATTCTTCAGCAGGAAAATTCTGAACATTGTAGTTGATGTGCCCTCCGTTACCAGAACGCATCTGAAAAAAGGAGTATCTAACGAGGAGGAAAATAAAGAAAACAGTAGCCAAAATTGGTTATCGCTAGATTGCATCGGTCTGCAGGATCATGTGCCATCTGTACTTCAACAGGTGTGTGAGAATCGTAGATGTTGTGGTACTTTGTGGAATTCACTATGACTCTTTGGAATCTTTCAGATCGCTATAGTTAAGGAAAAGGGAATGAAAAATTGCACGTCATCGTCCTTGTTTTTCATGTCTCCAATTGCTGACTATCTGACAACAACGGCGAAAAGTGTCAAGGTTGTTGTCAGTAAGGATTATACGTAAGTTAGAATCCTTTCATGGTTCTGCCGTTATTTATAGTTTTGCTTGTAAATGCAGCTTCGCAGGTTGAAGCAGGAACTTAATCCATTATTTCTTCTCTAAAATTTATGAAGCTAATTCAGCTTTAGATTCTTGATGCCTATCTCAGTCATGAAATGTGTTTAGAAGTGGAGCTACATTTGTCACTTGCTTCATT